CCTGTTTTAAACAGCATGTACTTGCATTTGAGTTTTTCCAATTGGACATTTTTAGACATTAATTGCCAGATTTAGTCCTTTTATATTTATTTTAAATGATGTTTTTACCATCTTAAGAGTATTTAGTTTCATTTTCTTCTTTCTCTATTTTTTATTCTTATTTTTTCCTTCAATATCCGTATCTCCCTAACAAGATGAGAACTATTCCAGAATTTTTTTTTCTCTTATGTTTATTATTTTATCTTTTCTATTTTCTTTGAGTTTATTCTTCTACAAAGAAGCTCCCAATTTTTATCAAGTCTGGTTTATCCAAAACATTTTTTTTCTTTAATGGATTTTGTTTCGGGGGTTGTATCTAAGAAGTCTTTTCCTATCTTAAGGTCACAAAGATTATCTTCTATGTTGTATTTCTAGAATATTTAAGGTTGTTAAGTCTTACATTTGGGTTAATAATTCATTTTGATTTTTTCCCCATTGCTGGAGCTCAAATCCAGGCCTTGCAAGCACTCTACCCCTGAGCTACATCCAGCCCCTTGACTTTTTAATATAACATGAGGTGTGGATTGAAGTTCACTTTTTGCATATGGATATCCAGTGGTTCCAACATCATTCATTGAAAAAATTATCCTTTCTCCACTGCATTTTCCTTGCTCGTTTGTTGAAAATCAATTACTCAAGTACATATGGGTCTATTTTTGATCATTTGTGTGACCATTGTGTTAATTATTTGAATTTACAATAATAGTCAGGTAATATAAATCTTAACACTTTTTCTTTTTAAAGTTGTTTTTGCTATTCTAGGTTCTTTGCACATCCATATTAATTTTAGAAGGAGCCTGTCAATTTCTATTATTTAAATAAATCTGCTAGGTTTAATTTGGATGGAGTTGAACCTATAGATCAACTTGAGAAAAATTGATGTTTTAATAATATATAGTTTTTGAGAGATGAACATGATATATTTTTCCCTTTATTCTGGTCTACTGTAATTGGTTTACAGTTTTCAGAATAAAGATCTTATACATCTTTTGTCAAATTTGTCCCTATTTCATATTTTTGTCATTATTTGATTTACTAAAATTTCAATTTTTGATCATTTCTTTGAATGGTAGGCTATTTAGAGTTGTGTTCTTTATTTTCAAATATTAGGGGATTTTCCAGATAGCTTTCTCTTACTGATTCTAACTTAATTATTGTGGTCAAAGAACATACATTGTATGAATTGAATTATTTTAACTTTATTAAGACTTGTTATATGGCCCAGAATATTTTATACTCATAAATATTCCACGTCCATTTGAAGAGAAAATGTCTGTTCTGCTGCTATTGGGTTCTGTTCTATAAATGTCAATCATGTCAAGTTGGTTGATAACAGTGTTTGAATGTTCTGTATCCTTATTGGGTTCTTTGCTATTTTTTTATTGACTGTTGAAACATGAATATTCAAATTTCTGACTATAATTGTGGATGGGCCTATTCTTGAAGTTCTGTCACATTTTGCTTCATTTATTTTGAATCCCTGTTATTGGGCACTCTCGCCCATGACCAACGCAGATAAGACGACTGGGTTTAAAAGAGTTGGCTGCAACATTAAACTAAGAAAGTGGAGAAAAATCATGCAACACAGACATAAGTTTTTCAGATGGAGGGAGAGATGGCTCTGTGGCCTTAGGGGTCAGCTTCCATACTGGAAAGAACACTGGAAATAAAGAGTGTGAGCCCAGAATCCCTTTATTTTATAGCGGGGAGCATCAGAGGGTGATATGGTTTTAAGGGTGGAGTCTTGCTTCATAATGTCTGGTGGGCAGCAGATTGATTGACATCTTGGTGAGTCACACCCATCTCAGGTGCTGTGCGGGATCTTAGGTAGAGCTGGAGGGGGAGGCATACCTACATCATGCCATCAATCCCTTGACAGGGAGTTCGCAGTGCCAGGCCTGTCCCCTCCAGAGGCTACTATGTGCAACACAATCCACACACAGCCCATGGACGACTCATGACAGGGTACATAAAAGTTGAGGACATTTATGTTCTCTTGGCAAATTAACCCCTTTATTAGGAAACAAACTTCTCTCTAGTATTATTCTTTGCTTAAAATCTACTCTGTCTGATATTAATATAACCACTACAGATTTCTTGCATTAGGGTTGACATGATATTTTTCCATCCTTTATCTTAAAACTTACCAGTCTTTAAAGTGGATGTCTTTTTTTCAAGTATGATTCATTTTTATTTTATTTTTATTTGTTCTAATTAGTTCTACATGATAGCAGAATGCATTTCAATTTGTTGTACACAAATGGAGCACAACTTTTCATTTCTCCAGTTGTACATGATGTAGAGTCGCACCACATGTGCAGTCACATATGTACCTAGGGTACATTACCTAGGGTAATGATGTTCATCTCATTCCACCATCGTTCCTGCCCCCATGTCCCCTCCCCTTCCCTCTCTCCCCTTTGCCCAATCAAAGTTCCTCCATTCACACCCTCCATCCCCTATGGATCTGCATCCACTTATCAGAGAGAACATTCGGCCTTTGGTTTTTTGGGATTGGCTAACTTCATTTAGCATGATATTCTCCAAGTCCATCCATTTACCTGTAAATGCCATAATTCTATTCTCTTTTAATGCTGAGTAATATTCCATTGTGTATATGTACCATGGTTTTTTTATCCATTCATCTGTTGAAGGGCATCTAGGTTGGTTTCACAGTTTAGCTATTGTGAACTGAGCTGCTATGAACATTGTTGTGGCGGTGTCACTATAGTATGCTGATTTTAAGTCCTTTGGGTAAAGACAGAGGAGTGGGATAGCTGGGTCAAATGGTGGTTCCATTCCAAATTTTCTGGGGAATCTCCATAGTGCTTTCCATAGTGGTTGCACCAATTTGCAGTACCACCAGCAATGTATGAGTGTACCTTTTTCTCCACATCCTTGCCAACATTATTATTGCTTGAATTCCTTGATAATTGTCATTCTGACTGGAGTAAGATGAAATCTTAGGGTAGTTTTGGTTTGCATTTCTCTAATTACTAGAGAAGTTGAACATTTAAAGTGGGTTTCTTGTAGGCAACACAGATTTGGATATGACTTTTTTAATATCCAATTTGGCAATCTTTACATTTTAATTGGATTGCTTACACCATTAACATTAATTGGAATGATTTGGTTTAAATCTACCATCTTGCTATTTATCTTCTATTTTATTTCTCTCATCTGTTCTTTATCTCGTCTCTCTCTCTTTAGGCCTTCTTTTGAATTAACTGGATACTTTTTGTGATTTTATTTTTGCAACGCCCCCCCCCCCCCCACACACACACACAGGGTCTCACTATGCTGCCAAGCTGGTTTTAAATACCTGTGTGGACAGCCATTCTCACATGTGACCTGGCAACTCTTGGTTTGGGTCTGAGGCGTTCTGGCTGTGTCGGAGCTTTCCCGGTCCTCTCCTGATGAGAGAACCCGTGCGTGTGGGGGTGTGAGTGACCACTGACCTCGGGGGCCAATCACTGACCCTGAGCTTGGAGTTCGGCCCCCCTCAACCTTCATTGGATGGAATTCTCCCCTGAATTTCTTGTTCCCCAATAAAAGGCCACTCCCTGGCGTGCTCCCTCTCTCTCTCCTGCTAGCCCTGAGTAATCCTTGCTGCCCTACCGGGCGGTTCGAGGTAGGAACCAGAGAGGGGAGCTGTCTCGGACCTGGTCATAGAAAAAGGTAACTGAGTCTGTGTGTTTTATTTCGATCTCGCTAGCTAACTTTTATGCCAAGAACCTCATTAATGAAACCAGTGCGCTGGCCACATGGTGGATACCTGGTTCAAGTGGTCCTCTGACCTCAGCCTCCCAAGTGCTGTACAACAGAGGTGTGCCACCACACCCAGCTAATCTGTTAAGCTTTTTAGTTATAGCTATTTGTTATTTTGGTGGTTGCTTTAGCATTTACAGTATCTACCTTTCCCTTATCATGTCTACCTTCAGGAGATACTTCATCGGGCCCCAGGTAGTATATAAAACCTTACTCTGGAAAATTCCCATTTCTCCCCTCCTGGTCTTTGGGCTATTGTACAAAGTACAGTTTTGCCTTCATAAATATTATAAGCCCCACATTACATCACTAACAGTTTTTTCTCAACAGTCAATGAGCTTTTCAAGAGATTTAAACAGTAAGGAAAGGGTCATTGGCCTGTCCCAGGGAGCTGCTTTTCAGGTGCGCATCGTTCCACTGTGTAGCCCCAGATTTCTGTTTGGTGGCATTTTCCTTCTGTTTGAAGGACCTTCCTTTCCTTCTGTCCAAAGGACTTCACTGCATGACCACCGTGGCATGTAGACAGTCTACTACTGAAGTTGTCTTCAGTGGTATGGCCTCACTCAGTTGCCAGGACTTGGCCTTAAACTTTTGATCCTCCTTCCCCAGCCTCCCAAGTCGCTGGGATTACAGGTGTGTGCCACCACACCGGGCTCTCAGTCTGTTTTTGAAGAATAGCTTTGCTGTGCCAAGAATTCTAGATGGACAGAGCTTCTTGCTCCTGTACGTTGTATTTTCAAAGGAAAATTTCAGAGGATCTAGATTAAAATCCTGGGAACAGAAAGTCCGTTCACTTTCACTTGTGTACTAGATGTATCCAAGCACATATTTAATTAAATCTTCAGGTCTGAGTTCATGGCGGTGGTGCACACCTGTCATCCCAGCAACTCGGGAGGCTGAGGCAGGAGGATGGCAAGTTCAAGGCCAGTCTCAGCAACTCAGTAAGGCCCTAAACGACTTAGCAAGATCCTGTCTCAAAAGATAAAAAGGACTGGGGAGGTAGTTCAGTGGTAAAGTGCCTCTAGGTTCAAACCCGAGGGCCTAAATAAATAAATAACTCTGCAGGTCCTCTGCATGCCCTTTGAACTCCCAACCACACACACCATTGCAGGGGGTACAGGGAAGGCAGCAACCCCCGATCGACAGCCATGGAGATGAATGCCGGGCTGTGTGTGTTTTGTTTCTATTTTCAGGCTTAGAGAAGAATGGAAGCAGAGGCTGGAAACAAAGCTAAGGCTACGGAACAATCCAGACGAGACTGAAAGGCGGGCAAATGTTGGCTGAGAGCTTCCTGCTCCACTGACCACAGAGGACACAAAGCACTGAGGTCACGCTGCTGGAAGTCAACTCAAATCCCCAAGTCCCTTTGCCTTGCGGTTGGATCCCTGCAAAGGGGGTTCCCTGCCAATCCTCTCCCAATGCGCATGCGCCTCATTTGCCGAGTCAGTCTTCTTCGTGTCGGGGGCAAGTTTTTATTCCAAGTGGCTCTGAAGATGAGCTTATTTATAATCAAGGCTCCAGGCAGCATTCTTAACTTTTACATAATTATCTTCTAATTTTTTAAAAAGCCCCACCTATTTCAACTTCTTAGCATCCCAGAAGGGGTTCCCAACCTTCATGGTCAGAGTATAAACATGGTCCAGGGGCTGGGGAGATAGCTCAGTTGGTAGAGTGCTTGCCTCACAAACCAAAAATAAATAAATGAATAATAAATAGAAATGGCACAGGAGTTTCACTCCACCATCCCGCCTAGGAAACAATTATTTCAGGTAATCCTTTCTCTTGTTCTCTTTCGATGCAAAGAGAAATCGCACCTCTCTGCAGAAATAAAGATAATTTCAATAGTCATAAATAAGGTTTGAAAATACATTGATCTTTGTATGAATTTGTTTTCAAAAAAATTGTCTCTCAATACTATCAGGATCCTTTTAATACAATTCAGTGTCTTGGTGTCCCCAGTGTATGCATTTCATCCACGGCTTTAATTAAATGCATGTGTTTGCAGTGGTGAGCTCTCTATCAGCTCAGACAAACAAATGTGTAGCCATCCCAATAGAGGGCGTACCACACAGCTTCTGGACTGTCACTCCCTAGCCATCTCTCAGGTCTAGAAGCATCAGTGCCAATGGCAGCTGGGTCTGGGAAACAATCTCTACCAAAGGGAAGGGGACAGAGAGAGGCATGGTGGGCACTTCTGGATATTGCCAGTTGTGAGTGGTCCCTCAGGCTTTATGAACACAGGGGCAATGTGACTAGTGCTACCAGGAGCTCCTCTGGTTTGCTTCACATAGAAATTCCAACTTAATCCTCACCGAAACACATACGCAAGCATTGTTATCATTACACATTTTTTTAGTAGGTGATTATAACGATGCTTTAAAAAGTTTTGTAAGATAACCACAGAATGAATTAGTGAAAGAGCCGGGATTCAAAGTCAATTCTAACTACAAAGCCAGTTCCCATCAAATCATGATACCACCCATAAGTCCTTGTTTCAAAAGATTTGTGCTCAGCAGTAGTGTTTTCTCATTAAATATAAAAAAATCTACATGTGCTGGGTGAGGTGGCCCACACCTATAGTCCCAGCAGCTCGGAAGGCTGAGACAGGAGGATTGTGAGTTGAAAGCCAGCCTCAGCAACTTAGTGAGGCCCTAAGCAACTCAGCGAGACTCTGTCTCTAAACAAAATATAACAAAGGGCTGGGGATGTGGCTCAGTGGTTAAAAGTACATGGGTTCAACCCCCAGTACCCCCAAAAAAAATCTACATGCAAGATACATGTTTATACACTGAGAACATATTAATTTCTGTAAATTTTGAGCTGAAGAGTCACAGAATTGCTAGTTGCTCATTCTGAAGGTCTATATCCATGCTATAGGAGATGTCATTAGGTCTCAACTGAACAAAGAATGGGGCACAGTAAAATGTTAGCAAGTATAAGCCCTTTTTCAAATCAAAGAATCCTGGCTCCCTACTCATCTCCCTCATGTCCCGCCTCTCACTTTCTATTTCTCACTTACACTGGATTATTTGTAGAAGGTGGTGTACCTAGATGGTGTAAACGGGATTGAAAATAACTGAATAGATTGCTAAGCTTCTAAGAATGACAAATTTTTGGAGTTAAACAAAGGGAATTCAAATAAGGACACTTTGAAAGCTGATCCTACACTTTATCAAGATCAGAGTGTTTTTTTTCCCCTCTAAAAATGCTTTACTAGAAGTTTCTACACCCAGCCCCAACTTCTTCCAACCCCTAATCTCATTATCTCAATAAAAAAAAGTACACTCATCTAGTTACTCAGGTGAAAATCTAGTCACCCCAAACTCTTCTCTCTCTCTCCTGAACCTCTCACAAATACTCACAAATACTTCTGCCAGTTTCAAAATGTCAACGATGCCTTCTCAACATTATAAGGTTTGCAATCTAAACCTCTGTGCCCTGGTTCAAGGGTGACAGTGATTCAAACACAATTAAATTCATCATCCTTAGTATAAATACTGTTTATAACTCAGTGTCTGCTATCTTCTGGAAGGTCACTTCCTCTGCCCCCAGGAGTTAGGTAGCTTACTCAGAAGAGGTGTAATAACTGGGGACTAGGAAGGGCCACTCAGGAGACCTCAAGGAAGTGGTGCTTTTTAAATGGAGAGCATCATGGAGAAGGAGTTCTGTTCCCAGGTCATTGCATGAACATTCTAGAACTATACTCCCACAGGACACTGTTTAGATATTATGGAAATGGATGTGTCAGCGCCTGTCTGATCTTCTAGGTGGGAGGACACTTGGCAGAACCCTTCTGGTTTCCAGAGCAAAGTACATGACTCCACCAGGTCAGCCTCAGAGAGAAAGATGAACGCATGGCCAAGGGCATGGGGTGTGGGGAGGAGAGGCTTTGGATTAAAAAGCCCATTTCCAGGGGGGGAAGGTTTTATTATGGATGTGCTGACAGGTGAGACAATTCATTAGTGTAAAAGGCAGCTAGCTTTTGAAATATTCAAGCAGGCTCTATTCTGCTTCCAGGCAGAATCTGCATTGAAAATACTTTTATTTGTTGGTGGGCTGGGGATGTGGCTCAAGCGGTAGCGCGCTCGCCTGGCATGCGTTCGGCCCGGGTTCAATCCTCAGCACCACATACAAACAAAGATGTTGTGCCCGCCGATAACTAAAAAATAAATATTAAAAGTTAAAAAAAAAAGTTTAAAAAAAAGAAAATACTTTTATTTGTTGGTATATTTGGTAACAAATGTTTTAGATGTTTTTATTTTATTTCAATTCCCTTTTTGTGTGTGTGGCATTGTGGATTGAAACCAGTCGTATTCTACCACTGAGCCATATTCCCCACCCTTTTGTATTTTTCTTTTGAGACAGGGCCTCACTAAGTTGCTGAGGCTGGCCTTGAACTTGTGATCCTCCTGCCTCAGCCTCCTGAGTACCTGGAATTACTAGTGGACATCACCATGCGCAGTCATTTTCGGTGTTTTTGTATCGTACATAAACACTAGAACAGTGAAATTACTCTTTGGGACTGATAACCTCAAGTTAAATTTTCACATCCATCTAGGTGCATGCATGACTTTAAACCTCCAGTTCTATTCTTTTCTAGGAATTTCGCAGGTACATAACAGAGGATTGGCTTGTTCAGGTCTAAAAAGAGCCTCAGCGGATGAATGAGGCCTGGAAGCCCAGCTCTCAGTCCATCCTGTCTCATTGACTTGGTGTCCTCTTGGGGATCTGAGTGGTCCCAGCTGTTGCCCCAGGAAACCTGGCTGCCCTGGAGAGGAACCAACACTGCTTCCTTTTGTCTCATCAGATAAAGCACCTAGTGGGGGTAGCAGTTAGCTTCGGGAGATCTTGTACGATGCACTGGCCATGAAATCAGGGCTTCAGCTACATGGTGAGGCCGAGGGAAAGGGCCGACAACTTAGGACAGGGCTGCAAGGGCCAGGAAGGTTGCATCTCAGGGGCTCAGAGGATGAATGTGGGAGCGAGAAACATTGGCTGCCTTGGCATCCGGTCCAGCCCTAGGGACTGGAACAACACTCACGTGCTAGAACACAAAACTTCTCTGTTGGGCAGATGAATAGAGAGAGGGCTTGCCTACAGCACACGCCCACTGCTTCCTGAGCAGTTCCCAGGAACTCCATTCAAAGCAGGCCAAGGAGACAGAGCCACACGGCTCTAGGCATGTTTCCTCCTCCCTGAGCAGAGAGCCAGTTTAGCTTTCTGAATTAGTCAACATGAAACAGGGGGGGCAGTGGCTGAGCTTTAGAGGTCCTTTTACAAGGCCACATCCCAAGAGGAAACTCCCACCATATCATAACAGCCTGAATGAAGGGCGTTACAGGGCCGGGTGCTTCTGGAACCCTAAACAAGACTGCCCATCCTGCTGTGCCTTGAGCTGCAGACGCACTGCCACATCTCTGTCTGTAGTTTCCCCCGACAAATATAACTTATGCCCTGAGGTGGCTGGGATGATGGCTGGTCCATGCCCCATCTTCACAGTTGGCTCCATTCAAACCTTCCCTGGACCCAGAAACTATTTTGAGGACAGCTCCTGAGGCCACAGGGAACGTAAAGCAGGAAGACAGTTGGCTACAAAGAAGGCAGAGAGGAAACTGAGGAAAGGCGAGCCACAGAGAGGACAGATAGAGAACTTTCTGGAAAGAGCTGCACCAGGTTTAGAAGAATTCACGTGTGTGTGTGTGTGTGTGTGTGTGGTGCTGGGGATCGAACTCAGGGCCTCACGCATGCCAGATAAGCAAGCACTCTACCACTGAGCGACATCCCCAGCCTAGAAGGGTTCACTCTTGATCATGGTTGTCTCTGTCAGGGGCCAGTCAGGTGTAGAAGAAAGAGAAGGTAGGGTGTACCGTCTTCCAAGTCTGTAAGTAAACCTGCCCTTTCTAGGAACTGAGATTCTATCTCTTTCGAGGTTGTTCCTCTCATGCCAACATCCTTGGAAACATAGTCTGGAACATAGGTAGTCAGTGTCTCTGCTCACAGGAGGCACAGAAATGCTGGAGACCCAAGAAAATGTCTCCCAACAGCATCCACCCCTTGTTTCTGCACTGTCTTGGCTTCTGGTGAATTTCCCCTGAGGCCACTCAGATGTATCTGGCTGGCAGGCCGAGATCACATTCATTTAGTTTGACTGGTAAGTCAACTATGAGCAGGATCTCAAGCAGAAGGATCAAGCCAACCTGCCTGTAGCTATGTTCTCCTGGGTCCTTGATCAGGGTCACTGCTCTGACTACCAACAAACCCCATCCACTATCAGCGTCAGCTTCAGAAAGCCATCTGGATTAAGTATCTGGATGACTTTTCCTCTTGGCCAGGCTTGGCAGGGTGTACTAAAATTGCACAGGCTCCATCTTGGCCTACAAGGAGGAAGTTTAGGGAGATCCTGTCACCCATGACCATGCTGGCCAGAGAGCAGAGGCTGCACCAGAGTTAAAGTGGTGTCATTGACCACTTCTACTAAAACCAGGGGCAGATTTCATACCACTTTCTCTTTTTAAAATTTTTTGGGGGAGAGGGACTGTTACTGGGGATTGAGCCCAGGAACATTCTACCACTGAGCTACATCCCCAGCCCTTTTCCTTTATTATTTTGAGACAGCATCTCACTAAGCTGCCCAGGCTGGCCTTGAACTTGCAACCCTCCTTCCTCAGCCTCCCGAGTCACTAGGATTACAGGTATGCACTACTGTACCTGGCTAGTGTCAACTTTTGTCTGAAACATTTCCTTATTGCCTAGAAATCCCACACACGACCGTGCATGATGTTTATCCTATTCTTGAATTGTTTCCTAGACTTTGTACCTCATTTCAACAATATATCTCTCTTTTTAGTACTGGTAAATGCCATTTTATTCTCTTATTACTTTTTGTAATTCAGGCATTTGCCCAGATAAAGGTAAGTCCTTCCATGGTGCACATTTACAATAATTACCCAGCT